ATCCATCCATCCATCCATCCATCCATCCATCCATCCATCCATCCATCGTATTTTACCCACTTATTCCTTTTCGGGTCGCAGGGGCCACTGGTGCCCATGTCCAGCAGTCCTTGTCTGAGAGGCGGGGGACACCCATGACATCACAGGGACACAGAGACAAACTAGACAAACCATTCACTCTCTCACTCACCTAGGAACAATTAGAGTTACCAGTCAGTCTAACATGCATGTTTTTGGTCTGAGGGAGGAAACCGGAGTACCCAGAGAAAACTCACGCATGCATGGAGAGAACATGCCAACTCCCCCCAGAAAGGCCCTCAGCCGGGATTTGAACCAGCGACCTGCTCGCTGAGAGGCAGCAGCTCTACCAACTGCACCACGTGTGCAAATCTTTTACACTTTCACCAAAACGACTTTAACTCTGTCCCCTCTCGTCACAAGACGCTCTTACTTTGAAACTCTGTTATAAAAGGCGGCAGGCGATATCATCGGGGCAAAAAAAAAGAATTATTTTGAAATTTCATCTGACTTTTAGAATTACACCCAAATGAACAAAAGTGGTTGCAAAGATAAAATTATATTTAGTGGGAGAACAGGAGAGCGCTGACAGACAAACTCACCGTCCCAGCCAGTCCACTGCGATGCCGTCTGGTGATGTGATGTATTTGATGCCCAGATCTACAGCAGCGCCGATGTTGTTACTGCCATCATCCACTGAAGGTATGTACGCTCTCTTAATGGCACCTGGGACAGAGTCCTTACCAGCAACAGTAAAGTAAACCATACCTGTGGAAACAAAAAAACAGTAAGGTTTAATGTTGTAATTGATACAACACTAGTTTCATCTGATTTGATTGAAAACGTATTTTTGGTCTGTGTGTCTCACTGAATCCAGTGTTGTTGTGGTCCCAGTCATAGTCCAGAGCCATGATCCGCTCCTCCTCTTGGAGGAAGTCGTGGTAGGACTGTGTCTGCAGGTTGAACCTGCGGATACGAATGCTCTCTGGTAGCAGCAGCAGAGGAGGCGCTCCTGTAGGAGAAACAGACACATTCAAATAGACTCCTGACCCAACAGAATAACTCGTTAATGATGCAGCACAGATTATTCTGAGATATTTAAGATTCAGGAGCGCTGGTGGTGTCCCATTCATTACAAACAAATGAGTTAACAAAATTAATTTAGTAATCCATCAATAGAAAATATGTTGCTCTCACCATCAGCCTCACACATGTCACCATTTCCCACTTTCCTGTAGCCAGGAGCACACTCGCAGTCATAGCCGCCTTTGGTGTTCTTACAGCCCTGAGGACAGATCCCATACTCCTCACACTCATCGATGTCTAAAGGAGTAAAAAGAGACAAGCGATGGGTGACCAAAAGGGGGATAAAAGTTCAAATCTCATCCTGTTTGCTCATTTCTTCAATCTGTTAAATTGTTTTACCTTTTGGGAATTTAACTGAGTTTAAAGTATATAACTAAATATAGATTAGTTTGTGTGTACCCAGGCAGGTGTAGGTGTTGTCTGGGTCCACTTTATACCCAGGCCTGCAGGAGCAAATGAAGCCGGTCCCGCTCAGGTCGGTGCATTCATGTTGGCACAACTTCTCCTGACAGTTTCGATCTTGGCCAAAGTCTAGAAGCAAGCGACACATTTCAAACAAAAACGATAGGAAAGCAAATTTAAATACTAAAATCTTAGCTTTAAAAATAAATACTTTGAAATGCTTTAACACACATTTTTTACCAAAGTACAGATAAACCCGTGTGGCTTGTGGATAAAAACGTACAGATGTGCAAATATAGTTAAATCTATTCTATGATTTTAGAAGAAAAAAAGTGACTTTTGAGAAATTACATTTCCTGCAAAAATGCAGTGTGAATGCTAATTGCAGAAGAACTTGCTGAGAAACAGCTGAAATGAGTTATAACGTGCTGAAATGTAGTTGAAATGGAACAACAAGCCTAAATTATCAGAAGAAAGCAGAAAGACCACATCTTTGCTGAAATAGGTTTAAATAAGCAGAAATGAGCACAAAAATTAGGAAATTAGCTTAAAAAAATGCTGAAATTTGCATTAAAAAAATGCCTGGACAGTAGCTGAAAGGCAGAAAAAATCTTAAACTAAGGAGGCGAAAGGAGCTGAAATTAGCTAAAATATTGTGGTATTAGCTGAAAAAGCTAAAATTTGCATAAAACAACTAAATGGAATAGATTAAATTAGCATAATTAAGATGAAAGGAGCATAAGAAGCTGAAAATAGCAGAAAGAAGTTAATTAGGCTGAAAGTAGCAGAAAATACAAAAATTTTTTTTTGAATTTGTCTGAAAACAGCTGAAATTAGCAAAATAGCAGCTGAAAAGTAGCTAAAAAGGTAGAAAGAAACTGAAATTACCCGAATGAAGTGGAGAGAGAGCACATTTTTGCTGAAAAAAGTTCAAATTAGTGCAAAAAAAAAGTGGAATTAGATGAAAAAGCTCAAATTAGCATAAAAATAGCTAAATATCAGCTGAAATAGCAGAAAATGTTGAAACGTGCAGAAATAAGCTGAAAGGAGCATGGAGCATAACAAGCTGAAATTAGCAGAAAGAATTTAGAAGAAGCACAAAAATGTAGCCTTCATTGGATTTAGAGAATGTTTTACTTACTGCAGCCCATTTCATCTGTGCGGTCCCCACAGTTGTCGTTGTGGTCACAGACGTATGGCAGAGGCACGCAGTGTCTGTTGGTACATTTAAACTCTTCCAGTGTGCAGGGGGGCAGAGTGGGCTCACGGCCTGTAAATCACAATCAGAATGAATGAAACCGATTTTCAGCTGTCACAAAAACACTAAAATACCACTAACTTACACACATTAGTGTTCTCAGAGTTATAATGTAACATGATGCAGACTGTGTGTTTACTATCTTCAGCCTCAAAACAAATGAGTTTACATGAATGTGCATTGAACTATTTGATCTTCTCAGAATAATTTGATTGATGTTTAAGCTGATTGTACAACGTTCCCATTAAACGGACTCTTCTTATTTGTTGGATGTTTGAGGCTTTGGGACCTGCTCGGTCACTGATGTCACTGACCTCAGAGAGGAAAGTTTAGAGCATTAGAGGGGTTTGGACTAATGCCTGGCAATCCCAGCAACTTATTACAAATCTGGTTATGGCTACATTTAAAACAAGGAAAAAAAACAAAAACTGGCCTATGCAGTGCACTTAACCGGATTTAATGTTAGAAGCACAGTGTTTATCTCTGCATAGATGCTCATTAGTTTTTCTTTTGCTCGTTTTTGAGTGTGTGGTTTTAGGTTTCCTCTCTGGTATATTGAGACTTATCCATATTATTTCAGTATATGAGTGTGGGATGTATGTGTGTGTGTGTGTGTGTGTGTGTGCGTGTGTGTGTGTGTGTGTGTGTGTGTGTGGGTGGTGGGGGGCATACAGAGATCTTCTTTTTCATCGCTGCCATCTCCGCAGTCATCTTTTTTATTACACAGTAGACCAGAGAAGACACAGTAGCCATTGGCACAACGGAACCTGGACGGCATCTCACAGGTGATGTTTACTGGTAGTGGTAAAAAATACACAAATGCAAATCAGATAAACAATTTTTTCCCTCACAAATTGTTTTGTTTTACTAAATGTTTAACCCAGACGTGGGCAACTTAAGGCCCGAGGGCCAAAAGTGGCCCTTGGGCAATTTTCATCAGGCCCCACCAATATCCTTAAAAAAAAAAAACTTTACAAAAAAAGATTGATTTAAAAAAAAAAAAAAGGCAGCAATTGATCAACGAGATTTAAGGAAATTTAAATAAAACATTTTACGCAAAACTTCTTTTTTAAAACCATTTTTTAAGTCATTGTGTTTCCATAACTAAACTGAACCTTAAAGACTTGGAAACATAAACGTACACAAACATAAACATACATTCAGGTCTCTCTTGTAAATGAGTCCCCGAGGCTCAATGGGATTAACCTGTCTAAATAAAGGTTGAATGAATATAAGTTTGTTTTGCATATTTCCGTTAACATGTATAATATCATGTTAAGCTAGTGTGTACAACATGTTAAGCTAATGTGTACAACATGTTTAACTAATGTGTATAACATGTTAACCTAACATGTATAACATGTTAAGCTAACAGGTATAACTTGACTTGACCACTTGCTCTTGCTGAGGTCGGACGCTTTTCCCCCTCCCTTTTTGCTTTGCTTTGCTGCTCTGTCTGTGAAACTGCTTCCGAGCCTCTTTTGCATATCTTCCAAACCATTATTATGGATTTGTTTTGATCAGCTTCAACACAACCTTCAACACAATTGATAACATTTCTTCGAAGAGAAGATAGACTTTAGGTGAGCCGGTTTGCCCTGTTGGCACGCATGCAGCTGGATATCTCATCGACTTGGAAGACTTGATGACTTGTCTATCTCTGCTGCCATTTGTGGATTTTAAGGATGCATTTATAATTGGATTTACAATAACTGGTTCCTGCTTTTTGGATTCGGCTGGTTTATCTACAAACAAGGAAGTCATCTGCAGCAAATTTGGACCCGATCACACTGCTTGCCTTTATGATGGCTTGGTTTGTGCCTCGAGTACCCAAACTCAAATACTTTTGGCAGAATGGATCGGATTTCAGGGATTTTACTCAGGCACAATCTTTTGGTGTGGCCATGTAATTTAGACATTTCGGAACCGTTTGGACCAACACAGACTCAAGGTAGACATCATTAAGTTCTGCCTGTCCCCAAAACAGCTGTGTGTTTATCTGAATTTGGCTCCCCTGGCTGGCCTTGAAGGCCATCTTATCTGAATTTGCCTGGAGAACATGTGATCTGACGCCCCCCCCCCCCCCCACACACACACACACATCAAGGAATTTCCAACTGATAACTAGATAACTAGTTTACAGAATATGTCTTATATTCCTAAAAGTTATTGGAAAGACATTTTATAAAGCATGCTAACTATGCTACAATAAGAAAAAGTCTAATAAAATGACTTCTAGTTTATCTGATATACAGAACATTTATTTTCCAATTCTTTATGCCGCCTTTGACTGCTTTAAACATCTTGATGTGGCCCTTTGGACAAAAGTGTTGCCCACCTCTGGTTTAACCCCTTTCTTCCCACCATAACCCTTTGTTGAAAGATTTGGATTATCTGTCTGATTCAGTTAAACAAGTAAAAATTTAACAGCACAGAGAAAAGGACGCCAGCCTGTTCCAAGATGGCCGCGCTCAGAGCAGTTGCAGCTTCACAGGCTCCCGGTACCATCCCAGTTTTTAGAAGTTTTGATATTGACTCCGTGCCTGACTCCGCGCGATTTATGCGTGTGAACTATAGCCGAACCGAACTGATGAGAATAGGAGCGGATTTGCCACGAAATATAGCAGAAATCAGCAACAAACTCAAAGCTACGCTCGGCAGAATGCAGATCTTAAAGTCATCTACCTGGAAGCTGCAGCAGAGGCGTTCCAGCGGGCAGAAGAGGAAGCGCTGCTCCCGGCTTAAGAGGAGAGGATGCCGGGCGGGGGTTATGGTGAGGCTACGAGCTAACGCTAAAGCCGGTAAACTCCCCATGCCGTCTCTCTTTCTGTCGAACGTCCGCTCGTTGGACAACAAGGTGGATTTACTTCGTCTGAGAGCGGGCGCCTCAGAAGAGATGAAGAAGTGTGCAGTGCTTTGCCTCACGGAAACGTGGATTACAAGTGAAACGCCGGACTCAGTCTTCCAGCTGGATGACAGACTTTTATTTCGAGCGGACCGCTGCAGCGAGCTAACGGGGAAATCACGGGGGGGCGGAGTGTGCATTTACGTGAGTAAAAGTTGGTCCACGAACTGTACTGTTGTAAATAGCTCATGCTCGAAGGCTTTGGAGCAAATAACAGTGAAATGTCGGCCACATTATCTACCCCGAGAGTTCACAGTGACTTTTATCACAGTTGTTTACATTCCTCCGGACGCTAATGCTAATGAATCACTGCAGGAGCTTCATGATATCATCAGCTCGCTGCAGAACAAACACCCCGAGGCTCTTTACGTTGTAGCCGGAGACTTTAACCACGTGAATCTAAAGGACTGTCTCCCAAGCTTTAATCAGCATGTGACGATTCCAACACGTGGAGACCGCACGCTGGACCGTGTTTACACGAACGTAAAAGATGCATACAAAGCCGAACCCCGCCCCCACCTAGGACTGTCAGACCACATCTCAATCTTCCTGGCTCCTGCTTACATGCCCCCGCTGAGACGCTCCAGACCGGTACAAAAGAAAGTTAAATGCTGGATCCAGGACAGTGGCCCCATACTGAGAGATTGTTTTGATCAAACAGACTGGCAGGTTTTCAGAGAAGCTGCTGAAAATGGAGGTTCGCTTGATCTTGACCAATACACATCCTCAGTACTGGGTTACATTAGTACATGTACTGACACAGTCTCCACTATCAGAAATGTTAAAAGCTACCCAAACAGAAAACCTTGGCTGAATGCAGAGGTGCGTACCCTGCTGGAAGCCAGGAACACTGCCTTCAGGTCTGGAAACTCAGAGGAGCTGAGTAGGACAAGAAAAGAGCTGGTTGCTGGTATTAAGAGGGCCAAGGCCACATATGCAAAGAGGATCGAGGGTCAATTCATCTCACAAGACCCTCGGAGCATGTGGAGGGGCATTAAGTGCATAACAGATTATAAAGGAAGGAGTGAACAATGTCCCAAAGACCCATCTCTGCCTGATGCCCTCAACAAGTTCTATGCACGCTTTGAAGACCCGAACGGGCCACCCAGCACCGGACTCACCTCACCGCCGGATGAGGAGCGTCTCAGCGTGACCTCAGCGGAAGTAGGGAGTACCTTCGGGAGGATTAATCCGCACAAAGCAACTGGCCCAGACGGCATCCCCGGAAAAGTGTTGAGGGAATGTGCTGATCAGCTCTGTGAGGTGCTGGCAGACATCTTTGACACCTCGCTTACCCTGGAGACAGTTCCCACCTGCCTGAGGACTGCCGCCATCATCCCAGTCCCAAAAGGCTCTGCAGTGACTGGTCTGAATGACTATCGGCCAGTGGCCCTCACCCCGATGGTCGCTAAATGCTTCGAAGGGCTGGTCATGACTCACATCAAAACGGCCGTCGACATCAACGAGGACCCTCATCAGTACGCATGCCGTGGGAACCGATCAACAGAGGATGCAATCTCCTCTGTGGTCCACACTGCGCTCAACCACCTGGAGCAGAGAAACTCTTACGTCCGTATGCTCTTTGTGGGCTTCACATCCGCCTTCAGCACCGTGGTCCCCCAGGCCCTGATGGACAAACTATCCACACTAGGGCTGGGCCCCTCCATCTGCAACTGGGTACTAGACTTTTTAACAAACAGACCACAGTTAGTGAGGATCCACAACCTCTCCTCCTCCACCATAACCCTCAGCACTGGCTCTCCTCAGGGATGTGTGTTGAGCCCCCTCCTGTTTACTCTGCTCACATATGATTGTGCAGCTACCCATCCAGGCTGTCACATTGTAAAGTTTGCAGATGATACAGCGGTGGTGGGATGCATCACAAACAATGATGAGTCCAGCTACAGGCAGGAGGTGGAACACCTGGAGAGCTGGTGCAGAGAGAATAACCTTCACATCAATGTGAAGAAGACAAAGGAGATGATTGTGGACTTCAGAAGGAACAAAAACACCTACACCCCCCTGAACATAAGAGGATCTGCGGTGGAAGTGGTCTCCAGCTACAAGTACTTGGGTGTACACATGAATGACAACCTCAGCTGGAGCAACAACACCACCAGCCTGATCAAGAAAGCTCATCAGAGACTCTACTTCCTCAGACGGCTGAGGCGAGCTGGTCTGGGAAGCTCAGTCCTCGCCTCCTTCTACAGATGTGCAGTGGAGAGCATCCTGTGCTCCAGCATCAACGTGTGGCGTGGAGGCTGCACAGCTGCAGAAAGAGGGGCTTTGCAGAGAGTGGTGAAGGCTGCACAGAAATCTGTTGGAGTCAGTCTCCCCACCATCACAGACATCTACACCTCCAGATGCAGGAAGAGGGCCACCTGCATCATGAAGGACCCCACCCACCCAGCACACACACTTTTTGCCCCACTCCCCTCAGGAAGGAGGTTAAGGAGCATTAAGTGTAGAACCACTAGACTGAGGAACAGCTTCTACCCTGAGGCTGTTAGACTCATGAATCTCTAACTAGAATAATCACTGTGAAAAACCATATCATGTTGTTGCTGATCTGTTTCATGTTGCTGCTGATCTGTTTCAATGTTGATGTGTTCATGCGTGCACATCTGCTCACAGACTCATGTTCATGTTTGTGCTGATGTTCAATGTTTTATGTTATGAGTGCTTAGTGTATATTTAGTTGATGTTTTTCTTAGTTCATATCTTAGATGTTGTTACTGTTTTTCTTATACATTTTATTGTTGGATGTAACTGGGACCCTGTGTACATAATTTCGCTCCACCACATGTACCACATGAGGTGCGAATGACAATAAAGAAACTCTGACTCTGACTCTGACTCTGAAAATGCAGGAAAAAAACAAAAGGAGTTTTAGAAATACATAATAAAGAGCATTTGTCTCACAGCATAGAGTGAGTTGTTCATCAGAGCGGTCCCCGCAGTCGTCAACACCATCGCACACCCAGTTCTGGCTCACACACAGACGATTCGCACACTGGAACTGACTCTGTGGACACCAACGGCCTCCTGGGTAACGAGTGGCTGCAGAGGTAGGTAGAGTCAGTGAATGGTTATTCTTATAAAAGCTCAAGCTTTGCAAATGATCACTTATTTAAATACGAGTTTTCGAGCAAAGCATTCAAGTGGAAAGCCATAAAGAAGCTTAAATACGTGTGGAAAAGAACACATTTTGAAAAGTTCTTTCTTTAAAGGACAGTGTTGAAATTGGTTTAAATCAAGAAAAAAAACCAACAACTAACATGCAACTAAATACATACATTTTTATTATTTTTTAACCCTTTAATCATCAGTGATTTTAATTTACCAACATAGTATCAATGTCACATGTTTGGTAGTGAAGTAAAAAGTCTTTTAATTGCAATTTCCACACAAAAATCTCATAAAAAAATCTGTGATTTTAATTTTTATAGGAAATTGTGAATCTACAACCATAAAATATCACCTTTTAGGGGGTGATCCTCTTAGTGTTGATCCCTGTATAATTTTAATATTTTAAAACTTTTCTGACTTCAGTGCAACATCATTACACTTTCATTCTTTTCAAACCTCTAGAGCTGAATTATTAGATCAACGTTCACAAACAGTGGAGGTTTGCCTGTTTTTCTTCTATCCACCTGTTTACTTACGACAGCTAGTTTCGTCTGACAGATCCAGACAGTCGGCCCGACCGTCACACTTCAGAGCAGCAGGGATACAGTGACCTGAATCACACTGGAAGAAACCTGGGCCACACGTCAGCAACTCTGCAAAATAGCCAAGAAGTTGTGTTGTTGAAAACCAAAAACCCAACGAGGAAGTGAGTTTAAATGCGGGGCGTGCTCACCGCAGTCTCGCTCATCTGAGTTGTCTCCGCAGTCGTTGTCATGGTCACACCGCCAGTTCCCCGGGATGCACTGGTCATTGTCACAGCGAAACTCACTCTCAGAGCATGGCCTTGGCTCTGGGAAGTACAGACACGAGTTCAAATACCTCCAGAGTGTGGTGTGACTGTCTACATATGTAACTCTGGTAAACATAGGCCTATTTTCAGCTTTAATACGATTTTAGACATAAAAAGTAGCAAATCAAAAGCTTACGGCAGTTTCTCTCATCTGATCCGTCGCCACAGTCGTTGGTGCCGTCGCACTTCCACCGTATGGGGACACAGCGGTGGTTGTCACAACGGAAATCTCCCTGGGGGTCACAGGTCAGCTCCTCTGTTGGAGTTTTATAGTTGTGAAACAGGAAGTATGTCAACACGGAGTTGGAAAATATAGGTAAAGACAACTAAATTGTGGTATCCACAGTTCAAAACAAACAAAAACTAAACAAAATGACTGATTCTTTTAATGAGATTTTCATGTATTCAAAACCTTCAGTCACACATTCTTGATACTAAAACCTAAAACAGGCAAAATGTTTTTCATTTGACCTTTTTTTGGAGTCTTTCTTTTATTGAGCTGTATAAATGATACTTATTCTCATTGCTGTTTTTATTCACAACAAAAGCCCTATTCGCACGGGATTAGTTTTACTTAGGGACCACATGCTATTTGTAATAATTACGGAGATTGTCTGTGTTGTTAATCTCGTGTGAATCGGTCATGTCAGTAATTTGTAAAGCAAAAATTCCCTCACAAATTACCTACTATATTTTGCTGAACTCTGAGGTCCTGTGATAATATTAATCCAATGTGAATAGGCATCTCTGTGATATGGATATAAATGGGCAGGATCTGATATGTAATTAGGCTGTTTTTGTTTAAGCAAAATCCATCCATCCATTATCTTTTACCCGCTTCTTCCATTTTTGGGTCACGGGGGTCGCTGGTGCCCATGTCCAGCAATCACTGTGCGAGGGGCGGGGTACACTCTGGACAGGTGGCAAATCCATCACAGGGCCACATAGAGACAAACAACCATTTACTCTCTCACTCACACCTAGGGACAATTTAAAGTTACCAATCAATCCAACATGCATATTTTTGGTCTGTGGGAGGAAACCAAGAGTACTCGGAGAAAACCCACGCATGCATGGAGAGAACATGCAAACTCCACCCAGAAAGGCCTCCGGATCGGGATTTGAACCGGGGACCTGCTTGCTGAGAGGCAGCAGCTCTACCAGTTGTGCCACCGTGCTGCTATTAAGCAAAATCATTTAGAAAATATAGAACAAGGCTATTTTAAATAAACGTGCTGCTCGCTTAAGCTTTTGTAGATGCTGATACTTCCTTTACCGCAGATGACAGCAGGTGCAGAGACGCACACAGCCGGTGATCAGCTGATCGATTGATCCATCGATCCATCCATCTATCTATCTGTCCATCCATCATATTTACCCGCTTCTTCCTTTTCAGATAGCAGGGTTCACTGGTGCCCATGTCCAGCCATCACTGTGTGAGAGGTGGGGTACACCCTGGACAGATCGCAAGTCCATTTCAACCAGCGGGTTCAGCAGACGTGCGCGGCCGGTGACAGATTGTCCATCTGAGCTTAACAAGACTTTTTTTTACCTCTTTAAACCAGCCAGTCAGATCTGCCTCCTCCTCAACAAGTACATTAACACAATTTAATAATGTGCATTCTCATTTAGTTTTCTTTGGGCTGTACGATTCATAAAACTGCATCATTGAAGCCTGAGCCCACATGCGCAATTATTACATAATATGCCAGCCATCTCTTCTGTCTGATTAATTGCTGCACTCTTCTTTCTTTCTTCATCCTCTCAACATATAAACTTACTGCCTCCTCCTCAACAAGTAGATTAACACAATTTTATATTGTGCATTCTTATTTAGTTTTATTTGTGCTGTATGATTCATCAAACCGCATCAAAGCCCGAGACTGGCCCGGCCCGCACATCATTATGGACCGGCCCAGTACCAAATCTGGGTCAGGCTGAACCAGGCTCCGGGTTCGGGTTAGAAATTACAGCTCTATAGCGCGTTAACATCATATCTGGAAGATGTCCATAAATCTCAGGCGTTGTTATCCCGTGCGAATGAGCCACATAAATAGCAGACGTTGTGGAGTAATTTATTTATTGCACATGGTCCCTAGGTAAAACTAATCCCATGGGAATAGGGCTATAGTCTATAAATGGTATAAAACACCAGTATAAAATAAATCTCCTCCTAGATCATTCCTCTTGGACTTTACAAAAGCTGGATGAAACATGACCACCACACTCAGTCATCTCCAAAAAGAGATGGATAAGAACTGACCGCAGCCTTCCTCGTCGCTGTTGTCGATGCAGTCGTTAGTGCCGTCGCAGCGGGCCCACTGAGGAACACAACGGTAGTTTGTGCTGCAAGAAAACTCTGTGAGCTCATCGCACTTGTAGTCCGGACCCACTGGAGGAAGAAACAGAGGCATAAATGTGAGATAAGATCTGAGGAGACAGGTGAGATTGGAGTACAGACAGAAGATACTCTGAGAGAGAAAACACACATGTAAGAGCTGAAACAATGAGGAAGGAAGACAAACTGAAATGGAGCAAGATGAGAGAGGACCGGATGAACCATCTGAGTAACATGAAGTACATTTAAAAAAATGACATTATGTTAAATATGCCATTATCATTTCACTCAAAGGGAACGAGACTTGATGAAATTGTCAACTTGTTCTGCCACAGCGCACTACTATGGGTAATTACATCACAGCGTTTTATTGCGAACTCCAAATCTGTCATGGAGGAAATTAGGGCAGTCACATCAGATTATATATGTTCTAACAGAACCAAACTAACTCTAGATTTAAAGTAAAACATGGTACGACGTTCTCGAATCTCAGCGTCTATAGCTGTTGTGCTTACTGCAGGTTTCGTACGGCTCATCAGAGTGATCTCCACAGTCGTTCTGGGCATCACACACATAGCTTGATGGTATACAGAGGCCATTTGCGCAGTGGAACTGTCCGGGTCGGCATGTCTTCTGAGCACAAGTCTCTGCATCCTCATCGCTGCCATCTGAGCAGTCACTTAAACCATCACAGTGCCAGGACACAGGGATGCACTGTTTGTTTTTGCACTGGAACTGGTTCACCTCACATCGGTGATCGCCTACAAGGACGCAAAACATGGATGTAAAACTGAAATGACAATCTGGCCAGAACTAATGCAGTGGGTCACTTCTATATGTGCTGCATCCTTTAAATGTTGGTTCTGTTTTCTTATTTTCATACTGCAGAGAGCAGCATCTTCATCTGAGCCGTCGGGACAGTCGGGGTGGGTGTCGCAGATCAAACCAGGGTAGGTACAGTTGCCATCCTGACACTGGAACTGGCCAATAGGGCAGTAACGAGGCGGGCAGGTCTGAGGTTCATCAGAGCCGTCGCTACAGTCTGACTGGCCGTCACACTTCCACCATATGGGAACACATCTTAAAACAGGAGAAAACACAATAACGTTAGGAGGGAAAATTACAGCACAAGACGTGTATTTCAACTAAACGCCCTGCTCAAAATGATCATTTCATAACACTAACTTCTCGTTGTCCCCACAGCGGAACTGGGTGCTGGAGCAGTCAGCAACACACTGGATCTTGAATCCCACAGCTAAACCGATGAAATGATCTGGACAATGGCAGGTCGCTTGCTGCCCTCCAGGAGCGATCAGACACAAATGACTGCAGGTGAGGTAATGTGACGTGCACGGGTTTTCACCTGCAAAATAAACTGGTTATAATAAAGAATCCAAGGAACAGAAAAGCCAGTGATTGTCATCTACGTACTTCTTGGCTGCCTGTAGGGGTGGCAGACGTGAATGTCATACGGTCGGTGGGTGTTGTTGCCCATAACTGTGCGCCCCTCGCCTGTGTATTTATGAGCTTTCTCAACGTTGTGTGTGTTCCAGTCTGTCCAGTAGACCCAGTCTTCAAACAGGGAAATGGCAAACACATGGGGAAGTGTGCCAGCAATGGCCCGGTGCCGGTTCTGGCCATCCATGTCTGCAAAGCTAAGTTAAATGCGAGAAATTATTTTTAAAAATGAAAAAGAAAAATATTAAATAAAGAAAAAAAGAGTTAAACAAACAAACAATTTACATTCTAAACAACACAAATTACAAAATCCTTTTACGTTTTAGCTACCATTCTGCCACTTTTAGCTATTGTTTTGCTAGTTTTACCTATTAGCCACCTTTCTACTAAAGGTAGCTTTTTTAAATTTATTCATTTATTCATTTAAAAGAAACAAAATAAACCAAACAAATCCATCAAAAAGAAATAAAACATTGAATGAAAAGGGTGCAGAAAGAAGAACATTCTTGTAAATTTTAAATTTTAGTAGCTTTAGGCTACTGTTTTGCTACTTTTAGCAACTATTCTTATTTTAGCTACCATTTTGCTTTGTTTAGCTTTTAGCAACAGTTTTGCTCATCTTAGCTACTGTTTAGCAGATTGTAGCTTTACTATATGTTTTGATATTTTTTGCTAATATATATATATATATATATATATATATATATATATATATATATTTTTTTAATATAGTCTCTTGTGCTAATGTTAACATTATTGTAGCTGTTAGCTATGATTTTTCTCATTTATCTTTTAGCCACAGTTTTTTAATTTTACCTTCTGTTTTGCTTGGTTTACATTTATAGGATGATAGGATGAGGAAGGCCATACGGCCAAAGATGTAACAGATGTGAGTGGGGGAGGAAGAAGGGTGAAACTTTCTCCCCATTTCCCCACACATTTAACATGTTAAGATTCAGCTGCTTCAATAACTTTCAGCAGAGTTGTTCAACGCTCAGCATTCACTCTGCATTTTTACAGCAAAGTAAAACATTTTAGTTTCTATCAGCTTCTTTCTGAATAACTCACTCCAGAAAGTTAAGATGGGAATCGGCAAAGAAGATCTTGTTGGTGGTGTAGTCAATGGTCAGAGCGCTGGGCCACTCCAGCTTGGTTGTGATGATGGCGCTGATGTTTGTTCCATCCATGCCAACTCTTCCAATATAGGCCTCGTCAGCCCAGTCAGTCCAGTAGAGCCATCTGAGGAACAGGGATTACAAACAAAAAGAATCAAAACCTGAAACCAACAGCTTGTTTCTATAACTGTATTCATTGAAAACAATCATTAACTGCCATGGATAAATATTTCAAAACTCCTGTATGATCATGTGATTGTGTGTGTGAATACCCGTATTTGGGGTTGACAGCCACAGCACGTGGTCGGTTGATAATAAAGGTGTCATTTCCATTTTTAAAGTCCCCTGACAGCAGCTTCTTCTGATAGCGCCCATCCAGCTCCATTACATGAACTGATCCATAATAACCATCCACCCAGTACACCTTCCTGCAGGATCAAGATATTCTTATTGACTGCACTAAAATCATGCGTGTTCTCATTTTACTAGTTTTAATAAAAACTTCGCTTTCAGCTTAAGTTCAAAGTTCATCCCTCACCTGCCCACCCAGTCCACTGCCAGGCCTTCAGCTCCCCCTAAATTTTCAGTCACAAGCGTCTCCCTGTCGGTGCCATCAAAACGCATTCTCTCTATTTTTCTTGCACCTGTGTCCAGCCAATAGAGTCTCTTCTCAAGGTGATCGAAGTCCAGCGCCACCACATTGGACAGCCCCTGCAGGACTATACTCAAATGTGACCCGTCGGTGGTTAAATTTCGGATGTAGTAGTGATTACTGTACAATAGGTACGGGGCGATGCCACTGTTCTGACGACAGGTGCGTCCATCCGGTTCGCGAATGTACCCCGAGGCACATTTGCAGTGATATGAGCCAACTGTGTTCTCGCAGATCTGGCTGCAAACTGCAGGGGTGCTGACACACTCGTTTAGATCCTCGCAAGCTTTGCCGTCTGGCATGAGACGGTAGCCTGGGTGGCAGGAGCAGTAATAACCGGTGGGAGTGTCGGTGCAGAGTTGAGCGCACTTGTGGACAGCTGGGTTTTGACACTCATTTATTCCTAAACAATTGGAAGAAAAAAGAAGTGGGAAAAAGGTTGTATCTTTTTAAATGTACCAAAAGCAGTTTTCTTATTTTCATATTTTAGCATCAAGACAAAAATACTTGCACTTTGGTTCATCTGAAACCATGAAAGATTATATTTTGTCAGCAAAATTTCACCACCTGAACAAAAATCTTATGTGAAAGTCATCCTAAAACAAATTAGCAATGATGACTCCTTCACGATGATAAAACAATAAAATGGTGTTTCCGAGGGTTTTAAAAATATCTTCTCTGAAAATGTCTCACAAGAAGGTGACATTTAGTAATCAAATAAATATAAAAACTATCAGCTTAATCTCCTTTCTCTCACCACAGCCTTTTTCATCACTGTTGTCCTGGCAGTCTTTTTGCCCATTGCAGACTTTATGGAGGTCAATGCACTCTCCGGACTTGCACAAGTACTGCTGGGGTGAACAGGTAGGTTGGGGGGTCCTGCACAAGCTGTCCACTTCATCTGATCCATCCATACAGTCACTCTGCCCATCGCAAACATAGTGTGCAGAGATGCACGCTCCGTTAGTGCAAGTGAACTGGTTGCTGAGGCATGTGCTGTACTGACAGTTCATCTCATCGCTGCCGTCTCCACAGTCATTCACACGGTCACAGCTGTGGAAGAGCAGGACAGGAGAATTAGTTTCCAGATTGCTTAACAAACCCCTGCTTTTTATGCACTCGTGCAGGTTTTACACTCACTGGTATGGGATGAGGATGCAGAGCCCGTTGGCACAGGCGAACTCGTTCATATGGCAGGTCCGGTTGGGGCAGTTCTGCAGCTCATCAGCTGCGTTGGCGCAGTCTTTGTTCCCATCGCAAATAAAACTCAAAGGCACACAGCGAGGGTGGCCTGGGTACCAGGTCGGACAGGTGAACTGGTTGGGGCTGCACGTGCGTTGGCCTACAAGACATGGAATAAAGTGGTTGCATAAACAGTAAAAGGCAATAAAGCATTTGCAAAAAAAACAAAACAAGCATAACAAACCTAATGAAAGTATTAGAACTGATGAACTGAAATGTAAAGCTATCTAACGTTTCCATTTAACATGTAAGTAAATGTCTAGTTAGTGTCTCACCGCACTGCAGCTCTGGAGCTTCGTCACTACTGTCCCAGCAGTCATTGTTGCCATCGCAAACCATTGACTGAGGGATACAGTTCCCATTAGTGCACGTGAACTGGCCTGGACTGCATGTTCTGATAAAATCCTCTGCATAATGAAAAGAAAATCTGCATTTGTCACATATCTATGTGACAAGCTTTCAATCACAGCATAATGCGCTAATGCATGCAAATATGTCTTCACATCTTTAGTCGCAAAACAAACAGATTATTCACGTATGATGCATAAATTCAGCCAGCTTACCACAGGAGGGTGGCTCATCTGTCCCATCATTGCAGTCTTTGATTTTGTCACAAACCCAAGTCTGAGGTATACACTTTCCTCCATCGCAACGAAACTGATTCGGAGCACATGTTCGACCCGCTATTCCCCAGTAATACACAGAGTCAGCAAACACTTACAAATGATCAAGTCGTTAAAAACTATACATGCATTTTCTGCTTTATTTCACCACAGTTGATTCTCAGCTTACCACAGAAGAGAGGATTCTCATCACTGTTGTCCCCACAGTTGTTGTAGCCATCACACAGGCTTTCAGGATAGATGCAGATGTTGGTCCCTTCACACTTGATCTGGCCAGAAGGACAGATGCGCTCAGCTGGAAAGGATAAATTATGAGATGAGATCTCTGCTTTGACTCCATAAACCATCTCTTATTAGGTAACCAAGACTACCAAAAAATATATTAAACTCACTTAAATAAAGCATTTTGAGAAAGACTAAATAGTTTGAATTGTCTATTTTCTTAATTTGCAAAGTTTTCATCCAGATCAGTCACTAGGTAAAGAATCAAAACCCCCACTCAGCCTTAGTGTCACTTACGGCAGTTGATCTCATCAGATGTAACATTGTCTCTACAGTCGTTGTGGCCATCACAAACAAAGTCTATATTTATGCAGGGGCCGTTGGCGCAGGTAAACTCAGTGGACGGGTTGCATGTGGGGAAGGGGCAGCCACGCTCATCACTGTTGTCACCACAGTCGTTTGTGTAGTCACATACGTAGCTTAGTGTGACGCAACGCCCATTGTCACAGGTGAAGTCATTGGCTGAGCAGGTGTGGAATGCTGGGTAGAAAAAGAAAACTCTCAACGTTATTTTAACAACGTTATAAACCACCTACCAGGATGGGATTGTAATGAAACTATCCATAAGTTCTCATTTCTCACCACACACTCTCTCCAGCTCATCTGAATGATCCTGACAGTCATCGAAGCCATCACATTTCCAGCGTGCTGATATACAGTTTCCATTCAGACAGGTGAACTGCTCTGGCTTACAACGTTTGCCCGTGTCTTTAATGCAGTCTTTGCCATTATTTGCCAGATACCAATTCCCATCATGGGGACACTGGCATTCTGGGCCCACTGGACCTGCAGAAGAAGCAGCGTGGAGATAAGCGAGTTCAATAATTGAGAGAAACCAGAGGGAACAGAGAGATAATCTTTTTAATTAACAGAGTTGCTTTATGTGGTGTAGAAAGTTCCCAGGACTCCAAAGCACACGAGAAAGCTACAGAACTTTTTTTAGTTCAGCACAATTTATTAAGCCAATCATATCTAATCTTTAAGACTTTATTAGTCAGGTTTTAATAAACATAATTAAAGTCAATTTAATTGTACACACAAAAAAAGAGACAAAATTCATTCAACATTTTCTTTTAGTTGCACTATAGCCTTGGTCAAATATCAGAAGAATTATTTTTTTGGTCATATTGCAAAGATGAGTCATACCAGAAACACAGACGTGACTACAGCCACCGTTGAACTGCTGACAGAAGCTGGAGCAACTCTCCTGCTTAGATGCAGCATAGACATGAATGTCATTTGGCCGGTATTGCAAGTCCTTAGCTAGCACAGCAAAGCCAGAGCCATCATCCTTCCCAGCCCTAAAGACAGCTCTCTCAGTCCAATCGGTCCAGAAGATGTCTTGCTGAAAGACAGTCATGGCAAATGGGTACTGGACTCCTTGCACAATCACTTGCCGGTTCTCACCGGTCAGAGTGGCCCGCTCAATCTTGTCACTAGGAAAGGAAAGGAAAATTAAATATAAAAACAATGGTATTTCCTATTGTCCTATTTCCTCTCTAATTTATGAATTTGGACATACAGGGTGGAATCAGCCCAGTATAGCATCCTTTCTTCATAGTCCAGAGACAGGCCATTTGGTGTTGTTATGCTACTGTTTATGATAGCAGTCCGGAAGTTTCCACCCAGCGTGGCCCTCTCAATCTTAGCTGGAGAACCCCAGTCAGTCCAGTACAAGTAACTGTGAAGATAGAACCATAAATAACTCACAAGCTCACTTTATGGTTCCATAAATAATCTTGAGAACCATGCCCACTCAATTTACCCATAGCATGGGTCAACTATGATGCCTCTGGGACGATTTGCAAGGGCAACAATCGAGCGGTTTAATCCATCCATTCCAATCGCCTGGACATTACGTGTGTAGTAGTCAGTGAAGTAGAGGCGCTTGTTGATCCAATCAAATGCCAGTCCTTCTGGATCATCCAAGTCTAAGCAGAAAATACAGAAAGAAGATTTTAGTTCAAGTGACTAAACAAGACAAAAGTAGCAGTGATGAATGATAAACTCACTTGACGCAATGATGACAGGAGGGCTGGTAATGGATGTTGTGGTTACGTATCCAATCTTGCTCTTACCTATACCCAAATACTGGGTGAAAAAAATGCGCTTTTCCTTGAAGTCATAATCCAGTGCCACTAAATTGTAGCCCAAATTCACTGTTGGATAGGGGATGCTGTGGTCAGTCGGGTCTAATCTCATGCTATTCAGGGTGTAGTCTGTGGTGAAAACTAGAAATTCATCTAGTCCATAACCACATGATACTCCATTACTAAGCAGTGACCCATGTGCACAGCCACATTTAGGTTGCTCCTGGTTTGGAATGGCAAAGCAGAGCTGCTGGCAGCCTCCGTTGTTTTCATGGCAGGGGTTAAAGCCTATCTGGTTGGCAGATGTGGGCTGAACATGAGAGTCAAAGATGGTGACATCCATCAGTCCATCAAGATTGTCTCGGATTACCTGGTGACATTACAAACAGTTTTGTTGGCAAGTAGTATTTACTTATAGTTTGCTTAATTAAAAAAAAATTGTTGTTATTGCAAACTATTTTATTAATATTTTTCTCAGATTTATGACATTTTGTAGAGGAAATAATTAATATATTTACTATAATGAAACCAATTTATGTATGATTAACAAATCAAAATAGGTGCTCCCTCAATGCAGCTGCTATATAACGGCCAATGTTTCTGTGAATGTGATTTTACTAAAATTTTCTGAATACTGTATACTAGAGTACTTTACATTTTTGAAACCATAAGTTGTGTTTTATGTGAGACACACACATTATTTGTTCATTTCAAGAAAAAGTCACAAAGCTGGATCTTAAACCGTCTGTTAAATTAAAATAATTTTTTCACCTCTGCCTGGTCAGTATTGGTTGGGTCTTTATTGGCCTGGAAAAGCTTTCCAAGCTTTTTGTCCACCCACAGCATGTAGTTTCCAAAAATAGACATTCCTACTGGGGAAGGATAGCGGCTTCCAAAGCGGATAATCTGCCTCTGTGTTCCATCCACAGCCATTCGGGAGATCATATCAAGAACATCATCAGTCCAGTAGAGGAAGTCATTAGTGTAATCTACTGTTAAGCCACGAGGTGACGCCAGGCTCTCTGATGCCAAAACTGTGCGGTTTGTGCCATCAAGCAGGGCCCGCTCAATCTTGGGTGTTTGGCCGCCATCAGTCCAAAACAGGTAGCGAAGTTTGGGACTGACTGCCAGGTCTCTGGGCTGGTCCTGGAAGCTCTTGAGGAGAATCATTCGGTAGGTGGTGTTGATGGCCAGCACTTCCAGGAAGGTCTCACTCTCAAAGGCATTGGTGAAGTACAAGTTACCTGAGGAAAAAAAAATGGGAAAAGTAAACCAAAATGGGGAAAAAAATAAATAAATTCATTTGTATTTTTGAGAAATACAACTTCATTTCTTTTATCTTTTTTGTTTGTCTTTATACCTGCAATCCAGTCTACAGCCAGACCCTGGATGCCTTTTTTTCCAACACCTAAACTGATGACTTGACTGTAACTTCCCCCATCTGTTTTGGCCCTGTAGATTCCTTTGTATGAAGTGTAAGTGCTGTTGTCACTCCAGTACACAAAGCCAGACTGAATATGGAGGTCCAGCCTGTCTATCATGGAATAGGATGCTAAAGCAGAATTAGCAAGTTAGTAGAAGACTGTAAATTCTATTTAAAAATAAAATTATATAAAACGCAAAGCACTGTTTAGCATAATGCAAAATAATTAAAACTGACATACTTCCACCTACAGGCACCATTGCCTCAGAGTGGTCAGAGCTGTTTATGTGGAAACCACGAATATATTTGAGGGTGGAGACGATGGCAAACGAGTCATACTGTTCACAGCGGGTGCCGTCAGGAGAGAGGTAAAATCCTGTGGTGCAAGCACAGGTCTTTTGATTGTTGGGTTTGGGAAGACAGAGGTGTGGACAGCCTCCATTGTTGGAGCTACAGGCGTTGGTGGTCCCTGCTGAGTATGAGATGGAAAAAGCAGTCATGAAAAGTGAGCAGTACTAGATGGATCTGAAATGCAGATTGTACTATAAAGAATGGCAACTTGAATTTACATCGTAATTTACTGAAGTTACGTACTGTCTCGGGCATGTACTTTGAGAGCACGCAGGCCAGACATGCCGCTCCTCATCACCACCATGTTGGCACCAGTTTCTTTGTCCACCCTCTCAATGACCTCATAGTCCAGATCAGTGTAGTACAGGTAGTTCTGGTAGATTGTCAGACCCCATGGATGGGAGAGGCTGTTGACCACTGTTGTGCGGGTTACACCATCCATTGTGCCACACTCAATCTGGGCAAACCAATTGTAAGTGTCATTCAAGAATAGTCAAACTAAGACAAAAAAAAAAAGGCAAGTGGGATTTTGTACATACCACCCCTGAGCCCACTACACCCCAGTAAATTTTACTGGCTGAGATATCAGCAGCAATAAAGCCTATGTTTGCCAGGTTGCTTGTGTAAAGATTCCTGAGGTTGCCACCGTCCATATCAGCGCTGCCAACCTTTGGAGGAACTCCATTGTTGGAACCTTTGTCTGTCCAAAAGAGTTTTCTGTGGAGGACAGAAGAGATATGAAACAAGTAACGAGTTTAAGAAATGACTGGTCAAATGAGTTAGTACATATACTACATGTACCCAGCATCTCGAAATAAATCTTTAAATTGCAGTGCATTACCCTCGGGCAGGATCTAGAGCAATCCCAACAGGTTCTCCTGTTCCTTCTGGTTTGCCATTCGAGGCAATGAGGGTTTTCCTGTATTTCTCATTTCCATCTACACGGATAACCTACAAAAGTACAAAGTTTAATTAAGTTACTTGCATACTGACAAAGCAGAAACACAAAGAAAGAACCAAAACATCTTAAGGTTAGAATGCAAAAGAAAACTTTTTATGTCATAGCTCAATTCTAGTCTCATTATTCTTAAATGCATCATATTTTCAAGCTGTCTCCTCAAAGGCTATTTTGGTACAGTGATGTCAAAAGTCCACAAAAACTCAATCTTATCTTGGTTTTCATTTGTTTATTTATTTCTTCAGAAAGTGCTCACTTCAATGGTTCTGCTGGTGGGGTTGGTGTAATACATTATTCGGCTTATCCAATCAAAAGCTAGACCAGATGGCGAGCCCATATAAGCAGCTGGAGCAAACTCAGTTCTGTTGGTACCATCAGTTTTCACTCGCCAAATTGAACCCTAATAACAAAATAAAATAAAATAAAGACCCTTTTCAACAAAAAAAACTTTAAAACAATTTAACAAAAGTTACATATAAATAACAGTCATACAATAGACAACAATGAATAACTCATCCATGACATTTTCGAAGAAGAAAAAAAAAAAGGAAAATTAGTTAATAAATGTTATCTAAACTTTTTATTGCATAACTTTTTCGCAGTGTGTCAGTTTAAGCCTTTAACTGACCGTGCTCTGGACCCAATAGACATACTGCTCCTGGTCATCAAAGTCAATGTCTCGGCCCTGAGTGATGCCAGACACTGGGGCCATGGCGTTATTCGATGGGTCAGTGGGGTCCAAGGGAATCCCAAAAATAACAGAATCTCTGGCCACCATCAAGAATGGAGCCTCGTCTGAAATTAAATGGATGAATACATAAGACAAAAAATCATATACTAGAAATACAAGATAAGTAAAATATTTTGCCAGTTTACAAAACATTTCAACTGAGTTAATGTTTGTGTAAAGTGGTGGTAAACACCTACCTTTTATACAGGTGCGTTTGTCTGAGTCCAGCTTCCACCCTGACTGACAGTGGCAGGTGTAGTACCTGGGTCTCAGGTTTGACAGCAGGCACAGCTGTGTGCAGAAGTGCTCCCCGCAAGGGTTGATGGCTAAAAACAGAAGCACGGTGACACTTTCAGATTAAGATCAACAATTATCAATTTCAACTAGTTATTACATTTCTCACACCAAAATTTGAATTTAATAAGTTTTTGTGAGTTATTGTGTCCAAAGTCTTTATTTCTAATGGGTCTCCTGTTACTTATTACTGATAAAACATTTATTTATAAAGTCTGCATCAACACAACACTTTAAAGACTTCAGTAACCGTTGACATCGAACTGTGATCTACCTGCTGGCTGTTTGACAGGATGGTCCATTACAATCCCCATAGGCTGAAAGATATTGTTCATCAAAATGGTGATGTTTCCTCCATGGAACTTGTTTGTACTCATCACTTTGCTGGTGTAGCGCTCAGACCAATAAATGCTGTCCTCAAAGACAGTCATACCATGCGGGTGCTGGAGAACCTGTGGAAGACAGTCACACATTAACTCTTTCTAGTACACAAGTACCTTAGTCTCAACTACTAGTATGTCAGCATGTGGAACCTACCATGTCACTTGCCATGACCTGGTAGCGGTTTTTGCCATCATAGTCACAGTAGTCAATATATTTTAGGTAAGCATCAGCAAAGTAAACCCGGCGTGTGGTATAGTCTAGAGCCAGGCCATTTGGCCAGTAGACCTTAGTGCTGACAATAACTTGTCTCGTAGATCCATCCATACTGGCTCGCTCGATCCTGGGGTTCTGACCCCAATCTGACCAAAACATCAGGTAAGTACTGGAATGGAGTGACAGAGTCGTAAAAATATTTAGTAAAAGTAATTGCGCAACAGGTCTGGTGTTGAGAGTTTCAAGGTTCAGGTGCTAACTATGAAGTTTAAAAATAATAACACCAAGCCAAATAAAAGTGATACTTACTAGTTACGGGGATCTAAAACAAGTCCACGAGGGCTTGTGACATTTTTGTTTAAGAGGACTTTTCGAAAGCGACCATCCAGTGTGGACACTTCAATATTTTCCATGACGGAATCAGTCCAATATAGATTTCGAGCTACCCAATCCACAGCAATACTCTCTGGTTCCATCAAACCACTGGAAAACACCTAAACCAGCAATACATTAAACAATAGATGCACAAAACATACTAAAACATACTGTGGTTGACATGTCCTGCTTTAATGTTCAGTATACTGTGGGCTACTAGTTCACTTACTTCCTGTCTTTCTGTACCATTCAGATAGGCACTCCATATCGTTTTTAGTGTGGCATCAGCCCAGTAGATTCTGGAAGTTACACGGTCAAAGTCCACAGTCACAATGCTTGAACCGCTGACCACTGGATGCAGCTGGGGTGGTTTCAGGTTGATGTGATTTGCAATGATTTGACTACGTCTGGCTACCAAAAGTACAGCTGCCTCTCGGCCTAAAAGAAAAGAAATGTATTGGCAAGTGTCCATGTATCTAAAGTTAAATAACATAAAATGCATAAATTTATTTTTTTTGGTTCAAGTCTAGGTAATATATACTTGAGGTCCTTTTTTTTTTTATCCCAGAAGCAAAATAATTCCCTTTGCTTTGAATAAGCACCCAGAATGTTAATAATAAAGCTACTTTTAATTTATATAACAGCAGTTTAGTATTCTTTATTTACAGCCCAATGTATTTATTTTTGTAACAACATTTTTGTAACGAGACTCAATGGGATTAACCTGTATAAATAAAGGTTGAATGAATACCTTCAGCTTTGCACGTGCGTCCATCAGGCTCTAGGATGTAACCATGTGAACAGTGGCACCTGAAGCTTCCTCTCTCATTGTAGCACTGCTGGCTACAGAAACCAGGGATCTGACACTCATCAATATCGTCACAAGTCTTGGAGTCATTGAGGAGCTGAAATCCTGGTGGGCAGGTGCACTGAGCTCCAAATGGTCCTTGGATACAACCGTCACTGCAGCCTCCATTGTTCAGCACACAGTCATCTTCGTCTTTTTAAGGTAGATAAGGACTATTAGGCTTTTTATTTATTTGACAAATTGAACTGCATTTACATTTTTAAAAACACATTTCACTGTGTATAAAGAAAGTTAACAATGAGTGGACACTCACTGCAGATAGGCGACTCATCTGCTCCATTGGGGCAATCTTTCTGACCATTGCAAACCTTGTCCAAATTGATGCATACTTGGTCAGTGGGGCACAGCCACTGTCCAGAGGGACAGCTGAAGGGAGGGGTGGGACAGTTCTGCTCATCGCTCATATCCCGACAGTCATTCTCACCATCACACAACCAGCTTGTTGGAATGCACATCTTGTTGGCACACTGGAAATCGTTGGACCTGCAGGTGACAGCTGGACACCGGTGGTGTTCATCAGATCCATCCTCACAGTCCGGATGGCCGTCACACTCCCATTCAACTGGTATACAGAGACCGTCCGTCTGGCACTGGAACTCGTGGTCATGGCAAAGGCCTGGACCTCGAGTGGCTGCAGGTGCCAGAACAAACTGTTAGTGCTAAACATAGCTAATAAATATAACTGATATGATTAAATTTGTTATTTTCAGCACGTCTGGTTAACATACGACAGTTTTGTTCATCCGAATGGTCCCTGCAGTCAAACACGCCATCACAGCGATAACTGGAACTGATACACTGGTCTCCACTGGCACAAGCAAACTCGTAAGATTGACAAGAAAACTCTGGAAGGAGTTGGACAGAAGAAGATAAAGCATAAATACAGGGAAACAAAAGCAGCCTGCCAACAGCAAACATGCAGGAATAAACCTAAAATATTACAGCATCCTACCACAATTTTTCTCATCCGATCCATCCAAGCAGTCCTGGTCTCCATCACACACATAGAAGTTGTTGATACAGTGGTGATCAGGACACAAGAAGTAGTTAGGAGGGCATGTAGTGATGGTAGAATCTGGACAACACAGTTTTAGTTTTTATCAGTACATTTAAACTTTGTTTAAGGGTGCATATTTTCACAAACGTGGTTAAAACAGATGGCATGGTAAACTTACTGCAGTTGTGTTCATCTGAGCCATCACCACAGTCATTGTCGCCATCACACAACCAGGCTTTAGATATGCACCTGTTGTTATCACAGGTAAAGTAGTCAGCTGCACACGTGGTGGGGAGCCGAGTGGGACAGTTCATTTCATCAGAACCATCTCCACAATCATCTATGCCATCACAGCGCCAGCTGGAGTAAATGCAGTGCTTGTTGTTGCAGGTAAAAGCAAACGGAGAGCAGGTAGCTCCTGGAGAAGACATGCCAGGGTTTCAGCTGGTATAATGAAACTGTTTGCTCAGTGATTGTCTTTTACTACTTTGCAAAAGTAAACTATTCATATATATGTACCTGTATGAGTGCAGTTGGCCTCATCTGTCTTGTCTACACAATCAATGATCCCATCACAGCGGTAAGAGTTGGGCCTACAGCGCCCTTCATCACACTCAAAGGCATAGTCACCACAGTTAGTGTCAGGTGGGGGGACAGACTCATCTTTGATACAGTCCCTCTGATTGGCCTGAAGCTTCATGCCATACGGGCAACCACATTTCTGGCTGAAGAAAGGAGTTGGGAAACAGAAGTGGCTGCAGAGCCCATTGGGCACTGTGTTACAGCGGCTGGTGAAGGCTGTAGAAGGATGAAAACGAAGCAATCAGCAACTTAGACCGGGAGTGTTGACTATTCTGACTTAAAATATACACAAATTTCAATTTGGTTGTATTCAGCAGAAAAAAAGTTGGTCAGTAAATAGACTTTAGGACAAGAACATACTGCTGTGAAGATCAGCTGTGTAGGCCTTGACGTTCATAATGCCAGTGACTCCTTGTCGGATCATAATGTTTCCTCCTCCATCCCTCTTTCTCATCTCAAATATTCCACTAGTTCTTACATCAGACACATACAGGTAGTCTACAAAGCAGAAATAGCTATGTTTTACTTAGTATTAAAGTGAGATATTAGTAGAAACAGTATAAAAGTAGTTTCTAGGCAAACAGATTAATTTACTCATAGAATTTGTTTGTGTGACCTAATGGCATAAAAGTTTCTGATTCTTGATACTTTATAATAAAAGCAAAGTTTCATACTTGTCAAGGCTGTAGAAAATATGAACATAAACACTTGAAAAGCTGTGAATGTGTGTACAGTAATACATGCGCTCAGTGAGATCACCTGAATAAACAGTCAAAGAGTAAGGTTGAGTGATCTGGCCAATGTTGGTAAATGTCTGCCTGTCGGTTCCTTGGATGCTAATGTGACCAATTTGATCAAGGAGTGAATCCACCCAGTAGAGCCTGTCCATTCTGTTAAACATAAATAATTTATTTTCTTTTAATTTTTCAAAATAAAATCCTAGAATTATGTAGATATATAACTTGTGCTATTAGTGTACTTACAAATAGTCAAGAGAAAGTCCATATGGCCATCCCAGTGTTGTGTTTACCAAAGGAACAGAGTTGCTGCCATCAGTGAAGGCTTTCATTATGACGGCTGGACGATACCAGTCCGACCAGAACAAGTAGCTGTGGATCAACATTTGTATGGGTAATTTAAACTAAATCTGTTCAAACAAACTAGTTGGTTATATAGTTAGTAGTGTCTTTGCTACCTATCCAACAACTCACCCAGCACTGGGATGCACTGCAATACCCTTTGGGTTCCTCAGTCCAGTAACAATGTCTCGTCTGGACTTGTCTGTGACTTTAAATGCCACCACTGCTCTATAAGAGGATGTGGTCCAGAACAAAACCTTGGAGGTCCAGTCGTAAGCCATAGCATCAACAGTTCCCACTCTGTAGCCTGTCAGAATCTGCTGAACTGAAGGAGCAAAAGGAAAAAGTAAGGAAAATTGTTAAGAAATTAACTCCAGTTTTTGAAGAGGAAATTTGTCAAATGCAGTCCATTGTAGATGCACAAAATTTTTCACCAAATATATTTGGATCACAGCTGTAACATATCATGATGACCTTTTAATGCTTTCCTATTTCTAGAAGATGTAATAAAAACTCACCAGTTCCATTAAGGTTTGACTTGTAAATGAGGCCACTGGACCTGTCGCTGTAAAACACAGCTCCTTCATTTCCATCAAATTCCACAGCAGAGCCAGAAAAGGAAGCTCCAAGTCCTGTTAGGGGAAGTGTGATGTCCTCCTGCAAGGATAAGTTCAGAGGGATTCCCCTCACTGCCAGAGAGGTGGCCAACAACAGGTAGTCCTTTACCTCTGTATGAAGAGAATGGCTGCAGTCACCAATATATAATGCTACCCTTACCCTTTGTCTAAGCAAGGAAAAATAAATTATGATGATTGACATTCTAATCTAAATGTGCTAATATACTGTACGTTGTAATGTAGTTATCAATCATTATGAAGATCAATCTATTTTTGGGGTAACATTCATACAGCACCACATTACTTCTTCATCCAGATTGCTAGTATTCAAGACTCACAAACTGCTTTGTAAATAACAAACATAACCTAGAAAACACTCCCAATACATGGGAAACTCACTGAAGCAGGTTCGACGGTCAGGCTGAAGGTCATAACCATAGCGACACTTACAGCGGAAGCCCAAACCATCATTGTCAGAACGGTGACTTAACACACATATGTGCTGACAGCCACCATTGTTTCGCCCACAAGGGTTCATCACTGCAAGACAAGACAGATATGATCCTAGCGAGGCACTCAAACAGAACTCAAGAAGGAAAACCTTAAAAAGTTAGAAAATCTTGCCAAGTAGGCATCTGACTTCAGATTGACAGTGTGTTTGTGTACCTAAAGGTTGCAGGACAGGGTGCGAGACCACAACATGGCCTGGACGCTTGGCGGTACGATAAATGAGTGCTGGGTTGCTGCCGTTAAATCGATTGGCTCTGATGACACCCATCTTGGTCCAATCGGTAAAAAATACATGGTTTTCAAACACAGCTATTCCAAAAGGATGTGGAGACTGTGTTCCACCATTGAGTACAATTTTCCTGAAAATCAAACCACATTTCAGACAATCAATGAAGTAGAACTCAACACAGATAGACTTTTATGTCTTTAGTTATCATGAAGTGAGAATAATACCTGTCTAGACCACTGTAGGTGACAGTCTCCACTGTGTCAAAGTGGCTGTCAGACCAGTAGACCCGCCGGTTAACAATGTCGAGGGTGATTCCAGTTGGTGTCCCGAGCCTGCTTTTAACCAGCTCCACACGGTTACTGCCATCCATGAAGGCACGTTCAAGCTTTGTCTGCTTTTGACCAACACCCATGTCTGTGAAAAACATGTAGCTGCAAAGAGAACATAAACACTTAAAAGGGATCCTACGCAGCAAACAAAAATGTATACTTCTGCAACAAATAAAAGAGACAACTCTGTTGGGTACTAATGTGCTATCTCTTAAAAACATCCATACATCCATCCATTATCTTTTACCTGCTTCTTCCATTTCGAGTCACGTGGGTCGTCGGTGCCCGTGTCCAGCAATCACTGTGCGAGGGGCGGGGTACACCCTGGATGGGTCACAAGTCCATCACAGGGCCACATAGAGACAAATGAGACAAACAACCATTCACTCTCTCACTCACACCTAGGGACAATTTAGAGTTACCAATCAGCCTAACATGCATGTTTTTGGTTTGTGGGAGGAAACCGGAGTACCCGGAGAAAACTCACGCATGCACAGAGAGAACATGCAAACTCAACCCAGAAAGGCTCCAGGACCGGGATTTGAACTGCGGACCTGCTCGCTGAGAGGCAGCAGCTCTACCAGTTGCGCCACCATGCTGCCCCTCTTAAAAACATGGTTTTTGTAACACCCATCTTAAAGCTATTTTGGAATAGTCTATGTAAAAGAAATGTAGGTATCAAAGATTGTGAAGATTTAACCAGATGTGAACTCACCCCACTGTAGGATCCAGAGCAAGACCATGAGGAGTTTCCAGGTTTTCAGCCACCAGTGTCACTCGATTACTTCCATCAAAGTTACACATATCAATGCGTTCCACCATGGCTTCTAAGACATAGAGTTTAATGTTGACCCAGTCCACTGCAAGATTCTGGACATTGTTGACCGATATATTCAAAACCTCCTTAATGTTTTCCCCATTATAGTCGGCTGAATAAACCTGGAAAGAAAGGGTTTGGGATGGATGCACTTGAGATATATTGATGAAGCACAACTTCCATCACTATAATGCATTTTATTTTGAAAAAAAAATATTTACAATGATTAGCCTTTTGTAAGCATCTAAAGACTTTATGATGGAAGTAAAGAATAAAGTATGTCACTAATATTGATTAACAAGACTGACCTTTTTGGTGTATGTATCGCTCCAGAAGACCATGTTACTACGGAAGTTGTAGGCCACCCCGACAGCATAACCTCTGCCTTGAGATGGCACCAGAGTTCTGGCAAATCGTCCATGTATGTCAGCCATCATCACATCGCCTCCATTGGTAAAAATAAGCTGAGGCAATCCAGCTGAGAAACAAAACACAGGCTTTTTAATTGTATGAATTTTCAAACACTCAACAAACTAAAGTGTTAGATAAAAGTCCGGTTGCATGAGCCAACTTGTACCTGACACATTGGCTTTGCAGATGTGACCCTGCTCCAGAAAGTATCCGTCTGCACAGCTGCAATGATGCGTCCCAGGACGGTCCTCACACAGCTGGTCACAGATCCCCCAGATATCACAGTCATTATAGTCTGAGCAACAAAACCAAGCCATTCATTATGTTATGGGCAGTGGGATGAAGATTTAGAAAAGTACATTTCTAACCTGAGAAACAGAAACTTAAGGGATTTCTTTCAAACGTTCCTTTGAGCAATAGGGATTTCCCTTCAAACCCTGTTGCAAATTGCACCTGATAAATTTTGGATTCATGTGACAAATATGGTACTCACCTACACAGGAGCGGCTGTCATTTGCTACTATAAAACCATCAGGGCAGTAACAAGTACCGCCCTGAGGAGATGGGTGGCAGAGAAACTCACAGCTCAAGGCAGAGCACCGATCCAGGCCTGAGAAGGAAAATCACATCATGTTCACTTTCAGAATCATTTAATGGCTTTTTTATGGATTTGTCGTCATTAGGCTGGAAAATTTGATCACAAGAACATCAACGTGACGAAAAGTATTGCTGTAATTTCCTGAAAATTACACACTTAAAAGTTTAATCTTAAGCCAAGTGTGTATAAAGATAAGAATTCGGAAGAGAAAAAGGTTATAAATACATTCAGTCTTTGCAACAGTAGTTTATGGGATCATTGCAGCATGGTTTAAACCCATGTACTTTGATTTACAATCAAATTAAAGTGCTTAGAAATGCACGACATTCTACATTAGGTTCCTGTTTCTTTTGATGAGAATTATCATGAACAGCAGCGCTCCTGTTTGTTTTAATGTAACAATGTTTTACTTTGTAATTTTCCTGAAAATAAAATGAGCATGCACAACCGACTTACTGCAGGTTTGCTGTGCAGTGGCATTGGTCTCATCAGTACCGCCAGGACAGTCAGGTTTGCCATCACACACTTTCCCAACATCTACACACACTGTAGAGCCAGGACATCCCCACTCACCAGGGTAACAGTCTCGTGAGTTGCTATCTAAAAGTTGCAGAAACATAAATAACAATAATAAAACCTGATCAACACAATGTTTAATAATACGCCCATGTCCAAATTAAAATCTAGACTAACCCCAATCTATATAAAACACAAGGGTTCCATTTTGTTAGCATCTCTTGCAACATTTTTACAGGTTTGGAGTTTTCAGTATATGGTACTGTATAGTGAACACCAGGTTGGGATTATAGGTGCAGCATTAGAATGGTTCCATTCTTATCTGAGCGACAGGAGTTTTTGTGTTAATGTTGGTTATAGTTTATCGGCTTCACTGCCTCTTTCCTGCATGGTCCAGCAAGGCTCTATTCTTGGACCCCTTCTATTTTCACTTTATCTGCTCTGCTTGGGGTCTATCCTGAGGAAACATGGTCTTTGGTTTCATTGCTATGCTGATGATTGTCAGCTTTATCTGCCCTTAAAACTAAATATTTCATGCACAATTTACCTTCCGCTAAAATGTTTTGATGACATTAAGACATGGATGGCTTCAAACTTTTTAAATTTCAACCATCCGAAAACTGAAGTCATTACCCTAGCTCTACTGCTGGCTCTGATCCTGTAAATCTTGACTCTCTTTATCTTAAGTAGTCTGTCACAAATCTCTGGATGGTTTTAGACACTGACTTTAAGTTTAATAAACAGATTAACTCTGTTCTACAGAAAATTTTCTTCCAGTTGAGGCAGATAGCTCAGCTTAAGTCCGTGTTGAGCAGATCTGACCTTGAAAAAAGTAGTCCATGCATTTGTTACAACCTGGCTTGATTATTGTAATGCACTTTATATTGGGGTCAGTCAGATCACCATTTCACATTTCCAGCTTGTCCAAAATGCTGCAGCTCGGCTAATAACAGGAATTCGTAGGTATGAGCACATTTCACCAGTTTTGACCTCCCTTCACTGGCTCCCTGTCCTGTCCTGTCAGAATTGATTTTAAAATTCTCCTGTTGACATTTAAGTGCATAAATGGTCGTGCACATGCATATCTCTCTGACATACTTCGTTTGTTCCTTCTCGGCTGCTAAGCTCATCAGACCAGCTGCTTTTGGTTGTACCAAAAACCAGTCTGAAGCTCAGAGGAGATCGGGCTTTTTCAGTCGTGGGCCCTAAACTCTGGAACAATCTGCCCCCCAACATTAGACAGGCCACTTCACTTCCAGCTTGAAATCTTTCCTAAAAACACACCTGTTTTCACTAGTTTTTATTTTGATGCTTTTAATAACATCTTGCTGTTATTTTTTTCATTAATTACAGCCTTGATCTTATTGTTAAGCACTTTGGTAACAGCTGCTGTTTTACATGTGCTTTATAAATAAGTTTGACTTGATCCAACATTTTTCAGTCAGGTCATCTGGACAGTTTCTTTTTTTGTGCTGAAATGTTTCACTTTTGATCCAGAAGTCTTCATCAGTTAAGGAAACACACAACACAAAACTGATTCTTCCCCCAACAGCTTACTCCAAAGTGGAACAAACCAGTTATGTTGGTGCTAAGTTAGGCACGCCCCCTCCTCCATTGCCGGCCCTCTTCCTTGTTGACAGTCGTGTCAAACTGAAAATTTGACTTGACTTGACTAGTGCTCATTTTTAAAGCCATCCCTCATTTTTTTGCATTTTACCTCCAAGATAAAGACTTTCTGTCTTTTAAACAAAAATACTTTCAGGTTGTTGTGGAGAAGTAAGTTTCAGTGACACACTTTTATTAGTTGAATATGACTGTTCACATTCTGATGCACGTGGTAGTCCCAGTGATACAGCTTTAATGAAGTTGGTGTTCCTGCCCCATTCTCTTAATATCTTAATGCAGACATATTTGGTGGATTGGAATTATTTAATATTTGTGATTTTCTGCCTTACAATTCTTTTATAATAAATACACTTAAAAAAACATCAACATGCTGATTTTTTTGTATCCCTTATTATTTTTCTCAAATAAAAATTTGGGACTTTAAAAACAAAAAAGATATTTTAACACTTATTTCCAGTTCAGTTCTGACCATTTTGAAAGAGTCAGTGAATTTGACCAGAATGAACACAATTTGAAACATAAAATAGTATATTAGCACTAGTAAAGTGAGCTGTATGAAGGAATGCATATCACCCGCCACCTTTCATGACTTGAGTTTATCTTAGCTAGCTGTTTTCATTCCAACTCTTGTGAATGATGTGCGAGGTTTCATGAAATAAAGTGAATTTTGGTGAGATGTGTTAGTGTTCAGAGGATGTGTTCAGGATGAATCTCAGCATATAAAACTTTAGCTCATCTTATCTAAGTTACAATCACTTTGTGCTGGATAAGTGTGATTAGTTGTTGCCTTCACCTTGAACCAAGTTAACTCCAAACGACAATGAATTGTGGATGAACATTAAATGATTGCTTTTCAAGAGTTTCATTAAAATGTGTCCAGTGGTTCACAAGCTATGTTGCTAACAGACAAACAGGGCTGATGGAAATAAATATTAAAGTTTTAGACAAAAATCTTGTGTAACATGTAGTGCTCAAATTATGCATTGGGGTGATGCTCAACTGCTAATACACCAAATTTTAGTGGAATTTTGGCAAAAATTATTGAGGAATAGCCATTTTATTTGACTGTAGCAGTCATCTTGAAATGTGCTGATGTCAGCACTTAATCGGTTGAAGATATTAACCCAATGCAGAGCATGAGTTGGGGATGACTCTCAGCTACTAACAGCGAAATGTAGCGTAATAACTGTAAAATAATCTACATTACAACAACACAATTAGTTTCAAATTAAAGGCCATGCATATTAATTTTCTCACCACATCCTTTCTCATCACTGTAGTCCCCGCAGTCGTTGAACTTGTCACACACCCAGCGCTGAGGAATACAACGGCCACTGGTGCATGTGAACTCATTCCCTTTGCAGCTTGGATACGCTTGAAGAAAAAGCAGCAAAACTCTCAGACACAGAATCAAAGCACCTCCTGGTGTTTATTGATAAATGTGAGAGCGTCTTTCATCATTTACCACAGCCTTGTTCGTCACTGTCGTCCCCGCAGTCGTCCCAGTGGTCGCACACAAGCGAATTTGGGATACAGATGCCGTTTGTACACTGAAACTGGTGGATTGGACAGTGCTGAGATGCTGCAAATGAAACAATCATGTTCAGTTCAGATCATTTCAGAAGGAGGTCCGTAGATCCTACTCCTAGGTTATTGTGTGTGCAGTTCTACGAGTGAATAAGCGCTCATTGCTTCAGTGCTTGTCTGAAGGACCTTTGAACTCAAAATCATGTTAACTAAAACACATTATTGTGTGAATGTTTATGAAGCATTCACACTATTGTGATTCATTTTTCTTCTGTACGTTTTTCGGCATCTTTCTCGTTCCACAATTTTTGTGCTATTTCAACAAGTCATAGGTCAAAATGTTCAGCTTGTTCAGGAGAAGAGTTCTATGACGTTCTATATTGGTGCATCTTTAGCTTTTTGAAATATTTAGCCTTTTCTGCCATTTTTCTTGTAGAAAATGATTTGAGCTTGTTTTACATTATTTAAATCTTTAGATCTGTTTACAACCTTTTACTGCTCCTTTCACATTTTATTCTGGTTCAGCTTCTTTCCACTTCCTTGTGCAAATTTAAAAAAAATCAGCTACTTTCAGCTACTTTCAGCTGTTTTTTCAGCTGTTTTTGCCCTCCTTTCTGCTTTATTCTACTAACTACAACATTTTGAGCTTCTTTAAGCTAATTTTAGCTTGTTGCTTGAGAGCTGACTCAGCTGAAATTTTGGTCCCAACCTCTTAAAGTTGTGATATTCTAACCTGGCACAGTCATCCCTTAAATATGTACGTTTTCTTTGAGCAAAATACCCAGAATTCCATTAGTCATTATGTTAGATTCCTATTTGAGGGATAGCTTAGCAAAGTTTAGAACTTTTGCTCCAACAAAAGCATGCTTCATTTTCCTGAAAGTGCAAAAAGACATTTAACAACCCAACAGTTAGTTCCACCTTCAATCCAAAAATCAATCAATTTGTTTTGTTAATGTCATTTATTTACACCTGCAAATTGTCGCATGAAATACAATATTAAAAATACTACACGAGATGTGTACATGGCCAATCTGATCACAGCAAATCTCAGTTCACAAAGCTTTGACCCTGTAATTATTTTGGCTCAAATGATCTACGGCAGACATCCAGGAATCACAAATCTTTGGGGACCTTTTCAAAAAGTGCTCATCTGAATGTTTCCTGTTAACATTTAGTCCAAAATAAAAAGCCAAACTATGTTGTCATCTCAGCCCTGATCCAACAGTTTAATTTAGTTTGTGATGACAGTTTTCATGTCGCCAACATTATCATTTTATTTCTGCTTTGTGAAAATAAAAGGAACACAGTATTTATTTCTAATTTCTTCACAGGCAGATGTTTTGTGCGCTTCGTACTTACTGCAGTTAAATTCATCTGATCCATCCCTGCAGTCCTGCAGCCCATTGCAGTGCTGAGAGTTGTTGTAACAGGCCCCATTAGCACATGTCTTCTCAGTGCATTGTGGGTAATCTGTATAAAGAACAAGCTTGCATTATTGGCAACAAACCACTCATTATTTATTTAATCACTGGAGAATATCTGCAGGGAGATTTTGGGCAGTAACAGTTTTTTTTGTTTGTTTTTTTTAAGAGAAAAGTCTTACTGCAGCTGTTCTCATCGGAGTTGTCCACACAATCCTTCACGTGGTCACACCTGTATTTGACAGGGATGCACTGGCCCTCTCGGCATGTGAACTGGTTTGGACTGCAGGTGCGTCCACCTGAGACAAACCTGAGTTAGTGTTTGTGTTGTTGCTAAATAAGGCTAACAGTTTTAGCATTTTTGCTCTAAGACTTACAGGAAAAACACTTAGAAGGCTTTCACTATTGTGTGAATGTTTATTTATAATATTGTGATCAATTTTTCTTCCGTATGTTTTTTCAGCATCTTTCTCGTTCCACAATTTTTGTGCTATTTCAGCAAATTATTTATCAAAACGTTCAGCTCTTTCGGGAGAAGGGTGCTATGACTTTTGGTATTGGTGCAACTTTAGCTTTTAGAAATATTTAGCATTTTCTGACTTTTTTTTCTCATAGAAAATGATTTGAGCTCATTTTACATCCTTCACATCTTTAGATCTGTTTATAACCTTTTACTGCTCCTTTCACATTTTGTTCCGGTTCGGCTTCTTTCAGCTGTTGTGCAAATTTGAAAAAAATTCAGCTACTTCTGCTAATTTCAGCAGTTTTTTTCCTGCTGTGTTGTGCTCCTTTCAGGATGTTTCTGCTAACTACAACATTTTTGTGCTTCTTCTAACTTATTTCTGCTAATTTCAGCTTATTTATGTGTTTCAGCTCTTTCTACAAGTTTCAATTATTATTTAGGTGTCTTATGCTAATTTGAGCATTATCAGCTAACTCCACATTGTTTGCACTAATTTAATATTTTTTCAACTTAATTAAACAAAAATGTGCTTTCTCCACTTCCTTCTTGTAATTTAAGCTGCCTTTTTAGCTACTTTTTGGCTGTTTTTTTTTGTTTGTTTTGTGCTAATTTCAGCTTTAATTTATTTATTTCAGCCTAACAGGGCAAACATGTTCTTTCTGCTTTCTTATGCTAATTTAAGTTTGTTATACATTTTCAGCTAGATTTGTAGATTTCAGCTTGTTATGCTCATTTCAACGTTTGTCAGCTAGTTTAAGCTTTTTCTGCTATTTCAACTACTATTTAGCTGTTTTTATGCTAATTTACCTTTTTCAGCTAATTCCACTTTTTTAAACTCATTTCTGCTTCTTTAAGTCTAATTGGGAAAATATATTCTTTCTGCTTTTTTCAGCTAATTTAGGCTTGTTCTTCCATGTCAGCTACATTTCAGCATGTATTTTTTAGCTAATTTCATCTGTTTCTCTGCAATTTCTTCTGCTACAACAATGCATTTTCGCAAGAAATACAATTTTTCTAGTTAATCTAGAGTTGATCTCAACTCCTTCTCATTCAAATGTCGCAAAAGTATCCAACAATCTTGAGGGCATATAATTTAATCTGCAGCAGTAAGCTTATTTGCAGTTATGATGGTTTTATTTGGATTTTGAAGATCAGAAAACTGAACGTTGAGATGATGTGGCCACCTAGTGGTTTTAATTCTCATGAGGATGTTTCTACATTGACTGATATGATAGAACATTTATTTTTAGCACTTGTCTTTCAGAAAATAGTAACTTAAACTCTCTTCTTCAGTTTAAATGTACAGTCTATATTCTGTACCACAGGTTCTTTGTTCATCCGAGCCGTCGGCACAGTCTTCCTCCCCATCGCAGACGAATCCTGATGAGATGCATTCACCGCTCGTCACACACTTAAACTCCTGTGAGGTGCAAACTGGAGGTGCTGCCACGAACACATACAACAGGTCAGTTGTTAGTGGATCATTCACTTCATTTTATGTTTCTCCAGTATTGGTCTCTTTATCAACATGGTTGTATGAAAGCTTGATCTGAGTGAGGAAAGAAAACAAAAAAACTTCCACTGGTTCTGTTTGAACACTAAATTTTATCTTTGTTGTGGTTTTGAGCAATTACGTTAAACGAATGAACTTGAATTATTGGACATTTGCAGTTTGCGTGGTGAATTTATAAACTCTAAAGCAGTAAAGTGTCTTTTCCTTGCAGCTGTTTGCATTTTTCAACAACACTCACGACAGTTGAGCTCATCTGAGTCGTCCGTGCAGTCTTTGGTTCCATCACACCTCCAGTCTTTGTTGATGCATTGTCCATTGGTGCACTGGAACTCATTACTGCCACAACTTCCTGCACAAAGCGCACAAATTCAGATATAATATATCTTTCCATTGGTGTAATGACTTTCTTCTGAGTAGCATTTACAAACTTTAAGCAGTTCAGTTTCTAAAAACCGTCAGAAAAGACCCAATTATTACTTAAAGGTCGATGCCGTAACGTTTTGCGTGCGTCATTAAAGTTTCAAGGCAGCATGCACAAAAAAAGGTGTTTTATTAGAGCTTTTTATGATGTTTTATGGAAATGCTGGATGTCAAAGTCACATCAGTTCAAATAAAACATTTTTTTACAGTTTATTTAACAAATGAATCACTGCTTTTACGGCTGTCACAGCTGCTTCCATGTGCAGAATCTGAAACCTGAAGCATGTGATCGGGCCTTTAAAGAAGAGTTAATTCTTTACTTGAGCAAACGCTTCGTCTTGTGATCTTGGAATAAGTTAAACCGTCTTTTCCAATTAAGTCATATACAATCCTTATTTCAGTGCTGGTATAATTTTTAGATTACTTGAAAAATGTTGTGCAAAGAGTTATGTATTTTAGAAGAGAAGTGCAGAACAGGTAAAGAAAATAAACATTTTCTGGTAGCAATGATCAGTTTTATCAAACTTTCAAAATAAGCGGCAGTAACTTTATATATTTAATGCAACTGCAAATGATGTAATATTTCTATTGACTTTGTTTAACATTCACTTTAGAAAAATTACCATCATATATCTACTCCGAGTTCATTTCACTACAGAACACACACAGTCTCAGGACCAGTAGCTGCAGTTTAAAGTATCCTTTGTGTGCACAGACTCAGGAAAAATGAGTAGTATGTCCCACTGGCTTCCCCTTCTTCATTCTTTTCAGAGCTTTCCAATCTTCACCCTCACTAATCTTTCTAACTTCCTTGTCCACAGCTTCAATGACCTCTACTCTTCTTTCCCTTTCATTCTCTTCATTCACTAGCTCCTCAAAGTACTCCTTCCATCTTACAATCACAGTCTCCTCATTGTTAGAACATTACCATTCCTATCTTTCCTGCTGCACATCCTTTCCATCCTGATCCCTCAGTCTCGCCGGTGTTCAAATCCTTCTTGCCTCTCAGGTCCAGTAGCTGGCTGCAGTTTAAGGTACCCTTTGTGCACACAGAGTCAGGAAAAATAAGTATGTCCTATTTCGGCCCATGGTCTTGGAATGATCTGCAGCTTAAGTTGAGGTTGGAGACTTTTATTCTTTTATCTGCTGGTAGTTTTAAACAAAAACTGTCAGAGATTTTAGTCACGTCTTGCACCTGTAACATTTAAGTGTCTTAAATTGGGATTTTTTTTTAAATGTGTATTGTATTTTAATTACTTAACTAAGATTGAATTATTTTAATGTTATTAATTTATTTATTATATAAATGATTGTTTCTGTTCAGTGCCCTGAGATGACTTCTGTTGTGACTTGGCGCTATATAAATAAACCAAATTGAATTGAACTGAATATTTTATGTCTTATTACCAGATGTTTTGTTGTAAATAATTTAATACTACTGTTACTGTTATTAAAACTGATGCTGTGTTTGTAATGGCTTGTTTGCACGTTGCACATGGCCCAGGACATCCTCGTAAAAGAGACTAATTATCTCAATGGAGTTCTTTCCCAGTTAAAAAAAAAAAAATGTTTGAATAAATTTCATCTGACTGTGCACAAATTTTTACATCGTATTAAAAAAAATTTTTTTCAAAGAAAACATCAAACTGCTTATTTCATTGTTCTTGATTAGAAATATAGTGATAATACATGATGCACTATTAAGACAAGGATGCAAATATGTCGTGTAAAAGCATCTTGCGGCTGTCGTTGACTTTCGCTCATCACTTTCTGTTCGTGTTTTTGACCTCTGTTTGCTTGAAACTATACAAACTGTGAAAGCAGAAGTAGAACCTACCTTGAGCAAGGTGAATTCCTTGAGACAGCAGAAGCGACAGAAGACAAAGACCCGTTGGGTCCATGTTTGAAACACCAGCGCTGCTTTAGTTCTCAGCTCAGAGCGGTGAACTCTGTGCTCTCATGCTCAACGTGCTTCCTCTCAGCCCAAATGATCCTGTGGTAGAAAACTTTAGGATGCAGACCAGTAATGTGACAGTTACACAGGTTTTTATGGCTGCTTTACGAGGATTAACTTTTACCTGTCAGCGTGTCATCTACATCAGCAAAAAAAGACAGAATGACTTCTGTTTGTGAGTAAGAATGGAGCCAGGATGTGCACATTTAAGAAGCTGAAATTAGAGACTGTTAAAACATCAAGGAGTATTTTTGCAACCAGATGTTCATATTTCTAAATGTTTCGTCCTGCTTAAATATCTTCATTCAAATGTGTTTCTTACTGTCCAATCCCCAAATCGATTTGCTCTTTACTATATATATAAAGATAAATTAAAACCAAGTTTCTGTTGTTTGCATCAGTCATGCTTGTATTTTGTGGCCTTCTATTAAAAAATTTAACTTTTGCAAAAAAAAAAAGATATATTTTTAATTTCTCAATGTATTTTCAAAATAAAATGACCTCAGATTAGATTAAGAGAACTAACAAGTAAGACAGGACTAGTCTATTTATAGTGAAAAGATTCAGAATAACAACTTTATGTTGGCTAAATCTTTCACTCCATTGACCCAGAATGCAGAAGTTTGATGGCGATGTAGGAAATCTAAGTGTTTTAGCACAACCCATGGTCTTTACCTAACACTAACCGAGTTTTTTTATTTCTTTTTTCGAGGCAGTTATGATTATGAAGCAACAAACAGGTTGCTGTAACATGAAGTTTATTAGTGACACCCAGGCCGCCTCCAAAATTCACTGCGACAAATATAAACTTTAATAATCACTTTGATTTAATAATCAATAATGATCATTTAATAATCAGTTGAGCATGGACTTTGTTGTTTTCATAATCACTGGGTTTTTTTTTTTAATCAGCCAAATACTAACATTTGTTTTGTCTGAAGTCCAACTTAAAGTGACAAAAGTGTTTTATTGTTGTTGTGTCGCTGGATTCCTAAAACTGGTGAAAAATGATTCATGAAGCAGCTTAATGTGGTTTAAAGAGCTGTGTCAGGGCACCATCTAACTATCTTTATATTTTCTGTTCCTCGGAGCAGATTGTAAAGTATCTAAAGTCAATACAAACTAAAAAAAGGCAATTTTTTGGGATGCAGTCTACGTTTACATTTATCTAATTTGGTGGAAACACAGCTCCACAGGGAAGTACATGGTTTAGAGACTACGGTAGTTATGTAGAACTAAAGAAGAAAAGCCAACTTAAACTATAGACATTGCATTTCCTGCAAAAATGCAGCGTGAATCCTTTTTGCTGAAAAAGCTGATAATGTTTATCTCTGAACTGTTAATGTGAGTTTTATTGGAACAGCTGACGTTCACTGAAAGCAGGAAAATAAAAGCAGAAAGCAGCAGAAAAATGGCAGAAATGTGTAGAAAAAGCTGAAATAAATAGAGAGGCTGAATAGATTAGGGTATAAAAATCTTAAATTGGCAAAAAAAAGAAATTGAAATGAGCAGAAAAAAGCTGAAATTAACATAAAAAGGTAGCTGAAATGGCTAAACAAGCTAAAATTAGCAGAGAGAAGCTGACAAAAAGCTGAAATTAGAATAAAGAATCTGAAAGGAGCAGAAAAGCAGCTGAAAAACGTTTAAATGAGCAGAAAGAAGCTGAAAGGAGCTGAACCAGAACAAAAGCTGACATGAACAGTAAAAAGGTTTTAAACAGCACGAGTCTGAAGGAACTGAAGAAAGTTTCAGTCATTTTCAATTAAAAAAATGAGGTCAAAAAAGCAAAATATTTAAAAAAGTCAAAATTGTCTGTTGATTGTCCTGAATGAGCTGAACGTTTTGACGAATTGTTGAAATAGCACAAAAAATGTGGAATGAGTTACATCCTGAAAAATATACAGAAGAAAACTGTATCTCAATAGCATGAATACTTTATAAGTATTACAATTACTAAGTATAGGTATGTGTATCAGTATACCAGTGTATTAACCGCCTCACTGCTCTTTATGTTTCTTTAGCACTTGTAGCTTTATATTTACCTGGACCAGCTCAATGAATTATAGATTTTTACATACACTTGTCCTTATGTGACTTTAGTCCTATATTTGTGCTGTTTCAACTGTAGATTCAGTAACTTGAATATAATTTATTAATCTAAACAAGAAGAACAAGGAATATTTGAGTCAAGCGTTTTATGGCGCCCTCGAAAAGTAACTGCACAGAGAAAAGCAGTAAAGACCAGCTTTATAAGAGTACTTTGGTACTGCAAACTTGTATTTTGACCAATCCTGTTTGCTTTGATTGGTCGTTATTGTATGAGTTGAATCTGAAGGCCACAATAAAGTATTTCTGACACGTCTTCAACCTTCTGACACCTTGAGGTGTCTGTTTAGACGACATTTTTGGAGGATGAACAAAAACCCATGAGTTCACATGAGTTGGATAAAGTGTTGGAAACCATCTGCTTAGTCTTTCTCATTCAGACTAGTTATGGTCTCCTAACAGTGTTGCAGCTCCTCAGTGCACCCACAGACTTTACTCCTACTTTAGGAGTGGTCTTCATTAGTTAACCAGTTCTGGGACAGTGGGTGTATTGGAGATAATTAGAGATGCTTCTGTAATGTTTTACCCTTCCCCCCACCCAGGCCTCCAGCTATGCCCTCCCCCCACCGAGGGTTTCGAGTAGGGAGAGGGTTCCTGTCAGAGTCCGGGTTTAGGCTTGGCAGTCGGGGCTAGGTGCAGGGTCAAAGGGTGGGGTTATGGTCAGGGTGTGGTTTAAAGACAGTCAAAGGGCTAAGTTTAGAGAGATGGGTCCAGGCCTCACTTGTAAATGAATCCCTGAGGCTCAATGGGACTAACCCGTATAAATAAAGGTTGAATGAATCAACATTTTAGAGGTTTTCAAAAATCTGTTTTGTTCACATCACAAATATATGTTGTAAAGCCCGTTTGACAGATCTCTTATTTTAGATAGTTGATTATTTTTTATTTTTTTTAAAATCTTGGTCAACAACAGAAAAACAAGCGGTCTTCCGTAGATTTTTTTTTCAATTTCAAATTATCGCCCCATTATTGGGAGATGGTCACATTTACGATGAAAGAAACTGATGAACCAGCAGCTTTTGTTGACAGCTTTATTGGATTTTACAGCGTGTGACCTCGTCACAGCAACTCTGCTCTTTGGTTTATAGCTCTGCAGCAGAAATAAGAAGCAAAGTGTTTCTCCAGAACAAACGAAGCTGACGTTTTATCAATGTCTGTTAATTAATGGCCAAACAGCAGGAATAATAAACCATCTGCTTTTACAATAGATGCATCTGAAATCACCCACCAGATGTTGATGCTTTGCTGATACTGAAGCCTAAAACGATTTAGGATCCTTGGTTATTTCTGACTTGTGTTAATAATACATTATATGTGTTACTCTCTTCTCCTGTACTAACCTTTGTAACTGTAAAGCTTGGCTCTATACCCAGATAGTATGAGACTAAAAACAACTACTTCAGAGTCGGGAGGAAGTTTGACAGTGAATAATGAACAGTGTGCAGGATCTGTAGACCTGGACTGGAACCCTGGAGAGTAGGGAACAGTGCTAGAAGAAGGCTCCTCTGGGAGGTTGGTCTCGATGTTCAGATTCTTTACTATAAGTAGACAGAGTCGTCGCAGAGGCAAAATACATCAAGGTTCCTGAAGGTCTCATACAAATAATGGGCAAGTGGTGAAAGGCGGGGAACAGCTGGAGAGATCACAAGGAGGCAATCAGGGAGGTTCAATGCTCAGGAGGATCACAGGAATCAAACTATAACAATGAGATTTAAGACTAATCTTTCACAAAATACTGGGAGCAAGGTAAAGGCCAGGAACACAACAGGCAGATAAAGCAGCTGCATCGGGTTGTAGTCATCACCTGCCTTAAGTATTCCTTGCAGCTCATCAAGCATGATCCTCAGGTGTGGATCTGCTGGCGCCCTCTGGTGTCGAAGAGCTGCAAAGGACAACGCTGGAACTCTTACAATAACTGATAGACAGGCAGATTAAGTTATCTGGACAGAAGAAAGGGACAGATGAGTACAGCATGTGGACCTCAACTCTCCTTTTCATTAGAAGCTGAATGCTTTAATAGTGAAGTAAAACTTTGTTGCCCGGTAGGAGTTATATTTTAAAAAGGCAGAGGACGGACCAACTACATGCATGCATATGCAGACAGATGGCATTTAAAAAGAAGGGTTCACACTCATATTTTGTGGCTACCTCTAGATATAATGAACTCACATCATGAGTATGAGCTCCCATCTTCCGGTTGGGAAATGAAACGTTTCATTCTCGCTTTAAGAAATTGGTCCAGAGATGACGTGATTTAACCTTTTTTGTTGTTATTTACCTGGATGATTGAGTCTACAAACCTTTTTTCTGAAGCATTTTGGCCTTGGTTGTCCTCAGGCTGTTTCTGTGAGCAGCAAGTTGGTCATCTGGCTTAAATCATTTAATTGTTGTGCATGATGATTGCTTGTTTTGGATGGATATGCTCTGTTTGCATGTGTTACAAGCCTATTTCTGAGATTCCAACAGGAGGTTGGCTTGAAACACAGCATTGAAGGCTACCTATAGGACAGATCTGGTTGGCAGGCCACAGACTGACAAAGTCCTCTGGATGGGAGACGAAACGTTTCTCACTTAAAGAAACTGGTCCAGATGACACGATTTAGCCTTTTTTGTTGTTAACTCCCACCATTGTTTGTATAAGCTTTTCAATGAGTTACACTAAATGATCTCGGTTGGGTTAAAGGACAACGTCTATGTTCTATGGAATGTCTTATCTGAGCAGGGCTGTCTTGAAGCAACTCACTGTAACAAATGTCAGCGTGGTTCATGTAAACACAATAAACGTGTCAATCTTTACATTGACATTGGTTAACCATCATCTGTTTATTGGTCTGGATCTGG